AGCGAAGTAACAAATAACCCAGAAATTCACTATGAGTTTCTAAGGAATTGGGATGATGGAGAAGAATGTCCTAATGGCCTTTCTGAAAAGTCGACATGAATATATGTAAGATCTTCATCTTATTAATTTATACAAGGTTTTGATTAGTCGGGGGTAGGGGTGGGGTGTATATAGATATTAGGCATGTTTTACGCTTGTTCTAAACACACTGTTCAACGTGTCCTCCAAAGTTAGCGAGTTATTAATTTATCGTTTCTTTTTATAACGACCCAGGAATGTTAACTAACAGCAAATTCTTGTAAAACGTTCGTTCTGTAATTTCGAAGATACATACTGGTGGCTATTTACCCACACAAGAGCAATATAGCGGACTTACCCACCGCTTTGATGTAGCCAATTGGACAGAATTTAAGATATGGATGTTTATGATAAGGATTACGTTCTCTCCCCATGATTATAGTACAAATATTTCAAATTTAGAATAAATCAATGTTAAAAGGTAATGCCACATTTCTGTACACGACATTAAATTAATCTATATGTATCAAGTACGAGTACGGCTTCTTCAAAGTTATCTCTCTTTTTTTTTATATAAAAATGTTGTGACAGCTGGTTCATGAGTGATCAATTAATATTTTATAGCATCGCACTTGCGTCAAACTGCACTTCCGGTTCAGAGAATTACACGACAGATTTCTTCAATTCTTGATGCTGTTGCAGTTTAAACACGTTTTCTTCCCCATAATTTGATTTTCCAAATCATAAAGTTCAAGCTGTTTTTTACAATACAAATTTTCTGAGTTGACGGACGCATTGACACTGTGAGAACCTTTGAATGATTAACCCTGATTCCATTTCCATTCTGAAGATTTAGGGCCTGCCAAACGTTACGAAACTGATTGACGTACGGGATTTCCTGGAAATTGCATAATTTGATTAAAAAAAGGTACGTATTCATGCGAGACCAAATCAACAAGGCTATCGGCGCCATGCAGAGTACGAAATGGTGCTAATTTGCAATGCCTCAGTGATAGTAAATCAAACTCATTCTTGGCAAAAGAACATTTTATTTCAAAGATTTTAAATTTCAAGGACGCCAAATCTTCATCAAGTTGAAATATGTTCGGGGAATTTCCGGTTAAGTTTTCATTACTGTGGTTGGATGTCGGATTAGTGTTCTGCCACAGTTTATCAAAATATTGTAAAAAAGGAGCAAATTTCAAGTCATTGGTTTGAATATTTTTTCTAACGTTTCGTTTAATTAGACGTGCCTTTAAAATGGCATATAAACTGTTTCACGAAGCCACACGCTCAGCTCAGCACCGGTCTCCTGTACTCACTGATTGTCTAGAGGTCTCCGTCAAGGTTGTGCAATATAACTTTATTTATCAACATCTTTCCGTACTAGCCCGTGCAGCTTCGGGGGAAGAAAAGGCCTGCTGTATCCCACTGGCTGCATGATCTGCTTATGTCCTCCCCCCACCCCTGCAGAATCGGGGATGGTTTCTTCTTTAACTTCTATGTATTTAGGGGACATTGAAGAAATCAAGAATAGACCTGCGGTATCCCAATGCTAGTAAAAGGCGACTAATGTGGGGCTTTTCTTCTGTCTTCTACGAAAGGAACATGGAAGAAACCCACACTGATTTGTTGCCCCCCCCTTGTAACACTTGGGATCGTTCCCCCGTGTCCTATCTTTCCTGTCATCTATCTTTTCTATCTACTTTCTGTTTAAGGCGGTGTCTCCCTAGACACCCGTCTTCAAATGACCCTGGCTTGTGTGTCTACCTAGGCACACGTCCTCTCACAAAATGACCCTGGCTGGTGTGTCTACCTAGGCACACGTCCTCTCACAAAATGACCGTGGCTGGTGTGTCTACCTCGGCACAAGTCCTCTCACAAAATGACCCTGGCAGGTGTGTCTACCTAGGCACACGTCCTCTCACAAAATGACCCTGGCTGGTGTGTCGACCTAGGCACACGTCCTCTCACAAAATGACCCTGGCCGGTGTGTCTACCTAGGCACACGTCCTATAACAAAATGACCCTGCCCGCTGTAAGGACGTCAAACCCCAAACAAACAAACTGTCTGAACTTGATATTTTCGAATACTGGTTGATTATATCAAGTTCTTCGTCAAGGTCGCGCAATTAAATCGTTCTTATTACCACAGACATATCTCATCGATGGGTGGTAATTTCATTCTTCCTTATACACGACAGGAAAAATAAAAATATCTGCAGATTAAGATATGAGTTTTTGAAGATTTGAAGCTTACTAGATATCACAGAAGAAACACATAATGCCGTATTCGAGATTTCGAAGGTAAAATATCTGGAAATAATCATCCAATTACCTAAACATGGGTAAGACGAGACATCAGATTTCATAATATACGAGGTTTCATTTTTAGACTATTTTCCTGCATGTCCCGTTCTGTATAGCATTGTGTTTTACCATTAAAATGTTCAAATCCCGCGTGTGTATTGCTGTTGCAATTATCAGAAATCGTCGTTATATTAGAAGATAAAATGTAAATTTTTCATTATCTCAAAATCGAATTTCGACTGCTTGGCGCTTCACCGACAAAGTATGTCTTAAGTTTGCCTTCAAGCGAAACACAATTCAGCATTTTCTGCATCAATAGTTGTTTGAGAATTTCTAAGAGAATACTATTATGTTTCTCTGGCAATTTTATTGATTTTGCCGACAGGATCAAAGAAAAACAGCTTTTTATCAAACGATCTATCTTCTTGGTGTTTCGTAGTAAAAAGTGCTATAGCCATTTAAACAGACAATTACAGCTCCAAAAGTACTTTCCTTAAACGATTTATAATATTTTTTGTTCGAATATCACACGTGGTAAATGAAATCATCTTTCCATTAAAACCAAGCAGATATGATTCCAATAAAAACAATGTTTTCGAAAATTGGATTATACTGTTTTTATCGACTACTTTTGCAGATAGATCACGACAAGTGTTGGGTTTGTTTTCGCGAGGTACCGACAATTTAACGATAGGTCTACTTTCAGCAGATAAAACCACACACGATTTCGTGGTGTTTTTATGTATTTGCACATAGTCATGAAATGTAAGTACCACTTCGCTTTTCTGTCAAAGGAATTTTTGGCATTATATAAGGGTTAGCGATGTATAGAAGGAGCTGTATAAAGATGTTTTAAAGGAAAATTGAAAGTCTACGAATTACATTGTGGTGAGCAAAGGAAATAAATAAAATGATGGACAATGTCATCATGCAATTTTGTAAGAATAAATCAATTTGTAAGGACCCTATATTGAGGTAACATGATAGTATTGTTGGTTTTAAAGTGATAACGTGTTTTATTTCGTACACATTCTTCAGTTTTCGATTTTTTTCCCCTCTGAGGTAATAATAGGCGTTAATAATATATAAAAAAAACAAAAAACATTTCAGGACAAAAAGTCCAAAGGTGGAAAGTAAACAAGTAATATTGATGAACAGCTATAATACTATGTCCTAAAACATTTAATCACAGGGCCACGTTACAATCACACATATGCTATACTGATATGGGTCACAACACACGTGTATGTTTATGTGTGTTGTGACCCATATCAGTAAAGCATATGTGTGATTTTAACGTGGCTCTGTGATTTAATCAAGGAAATTCCGCGGAAGATATCTGATTTTTAGAGATGATAGCCTTTATACAAAATCGGTTGAGAGTAAGTTTTATAGATGATTTATTTTAGATGTAAAGCTGTCATAATTATCAATTTCATTTGGTAGTTCTTGTTGATCAGACTAACCAAATAGTCATAGTGAAACAGAAACACGTGGTTTTGAGTCAGACACCAGTCAAAGCTAAGATCCCGCCAACGACATGGTTGATCACAATGGACTTCAAAGCGGCTTATTACGTTTTTAGGATAAAGAAGCTTCGTTGGCGGAGGACGCCAAAAGGTCGATTTAATTACAACACAGCTTAATAGCCGGCATAAATTTACCCCAAAGTGGTTAGATGCGGGGAGAGGGAGTCTAAAAAGAGGGGAGACATTTCGCCGCATTGTAAATGACTAATGTGGCAGATGGTTGCGAATTAGCAAAAAATTGCATGACGGCAAAAGCAACATGATTATGCTCCGGCATTTTCTCTATCTTGTTAATTTCGTTTCGTCACTAATTGAGGTTCCCTTAAGGGTTTTACGACAAAAACCAACATTAAAATGAAGAATTATGCATTCCGTCTGTCCCGATGCCAAGACGGTGTAGCAATGGTGTCGAAAAGCACGAACAATAGATAGTTTTTTTCCTTTTTGTTTTTTCCTTTTTCAATTCGATTTCATTCGATATCCTGATAGGGATTTAATGGGAGACATTCTTTTAATGTGCAAAGGAATTCCATTAAATGAGATATTCCCACAGGAGACGTTGGAACGGAGGAAAAGATCGTCTCGAGGTTTGGGTTGAAGGATGTCACAGACAGTTGATACTGTCATGAAATAGATTACTACCCCCTTTCTATGCTATTGTAATAGGCTAGCATTGCCCTGAATCTCCATCATTTACTATATATAGAAATATGAGAATTTACTTTGACTGGTGTATCCTATTTTATTACGATAACTCTTCGTCACTTCAGCGCTTTATAATTGAATACAGCAGCTGACATCTTTCAGCGCTATTTGCAGGGGCTAGACACAGATGTAATGGTCTTAAACGGGTTTTTTCCGTGTAAGGATTTGTTTTCATCTCTTTGTCATTTTGATAATATTTATGACAATGAAGATACGTATCATCATCATCATCATCATCATCATCATTGTATTTTCCAAACCCTTTTAGAGAATTATTCAATTCACCTTGGTATTCAGTAAGGTCCTAATATCGATACTCTTCTATTTGGAGATTCCAAACAAATTTATATATATCACACTTGCTGTGCGGTCATTAAAGAAATCAACAGAAATTTAACCAATGGACTATTGAAACCGGAACATTCTCTTATCTCTCTTTCAAACCTTCTCTCTCTTTCCACCTTCTCTCTCTTTCCACCTTTCTCTTTCCACATTCTTTCTCTTTCCACCTTCTCTCTCTTTCCACCTTCTCTCTGTTTCACATTCTCTCTCTTTCCACCTTCTCTCTCTTTCCACCTCCTCTCTCTTTCCACCTTCTCTGTCTTTCCACATTCTCTCTCTTTCCACCTTCTCTGTCTTTCCCCCTTCTTTCTCTTTCCACCTTCTCTTTCTTTCTATATTCTCTCTCTTTCCACCTTCTCTCTCTTTCCCCCTTCTCTCTCTTTCCACCTCCTCTCTCTTTCCACCTTCTCTCTGTTTCCCCCTTCTCTGTCTTTCCCCCTCCTCTCTCTTTCCACCTTCTCTCTCTTTCCACCTTCCCTGTCTTTCCACCTTCTCTCTCTTTCCACATTCTCTCTCTTTCCACCTTCTCTGTCTTTCCACATTCTCTCTCTTTCCACCTTCTCTGTCTTTCCCCCTTCTTTCTCTTTCCACCTTCTCTTTCTTTCTATATTCTCTCTCTTTCCACCTTCTCTCTCTTTCCACCTTCTCTGTCTTTCCACCTTCTCTTTCTTTCCACCTTCTCTGTCTTTCCACCTCCTCTCTCTTTCCACCTTCTCTCTGTTTCCACCTTCTCTGTCTTTCCACCTCCTCTCTCTTTCCACCTTCTCTGTCTTTCCACATTCTCTCTCTTTCCACCTTCTCTCTCTTTCCACCTCCTCTCTCTTTCCACCTTCTCTTTCTTTCCACCTTCTCTTTCTTTCCACCTTCTCTTTTTTCCACCTTCTCTTTCTCTCCACCTCCTCTCTCTTTCGACCTTCTCTTTCTCTTCACCTTCTCTTTCTTTCCACCTCCTCTCTCTTTCCACCTTCTCTTTCTTTCCACCTTCTCTCTCTTTCCACCATCTCTTTCTTTGCAGTTTTCTATTATTTCATGTGTTTTTCTATTTAGTGTATTGTCGGTTGACATCTAGTAATTTGTGAGATCTTGTACTGAATCCCTTTAATTCAACAAAATATATTTGCCTTGAGCTATCAATACATATTTCTTGTTCAACCAGTCAACTGGAGAGAAGGCTGGTACTAGCCCTAGCCCTGGTACTGGGGCTGGTACTCCCTGGTACTAGCCCTGGTGCTGGTACGCTCTGGTACTAGCCCTGATACTGGGGCTGGAACGCTCTGGTACTAGCCCTGATACTGGGGCTGGTACGCTCTGGTACTAGCCCTGATACTGGGGCTGGAACGCTCTGGTACTAGCCCTGATACTGGGACTGGAACGCTCTGGTACTAGCCCTGATACTGGGTCTGGTACGCTCTGGTACTAGACCTGGTACTGGGGCTGGTACGCCTTGAAACAAACACGTATTTAAAAACATAAGAATAATGATATTTTGATCCAACGAGAAAGAAAGAAATAGATATGGAATAAAAATACCTTCATTGTTTTTGTTGGAATGTAAAGATATGCTAGCTGAAGCTGCCCATCTTTATGTTTTTAACATATATTCATATATAGAATAACAAACAAAATATTAAAACGAAACGAAGGAAAAATACAAATAAAACAAACGAAGGGAGGAAAGAAAAAGAAATGAAGGATTGAAAGAGTGAGTAGACGCTGACTCGCTCTGGTTAAGCCATTGTTGTGAACTCATTACCAGGATTAGAATTGTGCACAGTTACCAGACAAACCAAACTCGACAGTCCGTTTGTCTTTGTGTCTGCTACTGATCCAGGCCCCGCCATTGACCTCGGGGAAGCAGACGTCGTCGTCTTGTTGCTATCCAGGTCTGTCTGTCAACGTGTCGAACTGAGCAACTCCAGCAAAACCAGCCACTGGTGTCAAGTGCTGTAAAAATCGTCTCTGGAAACGAAGTTCTGTGTTATGTCCGCCCTGGAGCTACACAAAAAGGAATGTTCAGTATTCGACAAAAAGTAAAAAAATAAATTATTCAATTCAATTTCCAAACGAAAATAATTTCAGCATTAAAACACTCTTTCGGCTGCAAATGCAAGGAGAAATCACCAACAGAAATAGGTTCTATCGGACAAAAGAAAATTAATCAATAATTCAGTTTCAATTTGCAACCGAAAATACTGTTATTTACAGCTGTTATGTAATTGCAAATTTCCTTTGGCTGTTATTGAAGAAAACATCTGAATACTGGGCAGACTTATAAAACACCATTATCGATTAATATCCATATATAGAACATATGATAAAATCTACATTTGACAACAACAGAGCTTTCAGTTGACCCCTTGTCAATTAGCAAGATCAGAAGTCAATTAATATTTTCCCTGAAATTTGGAGAGTCAAAAGATATGTCACATACACCTGGGCCTGTATTCATAAAACCGTTATCTTGCTTAAGTACGGATTTTGCGCTCAATCATTATTTCTTGTTCCGGTTATAGATTAATAACAAAATGTTATTTTGTCAAGGATTTGGAAACAATTTGAAGAGACTTAGAGCTGAATATTGTTTTCAATGTTTAAAATTGTCTTTTTATCGTTTGACATGATTTAAGTTAGTTACAAGAAAGTTGTTTGGAGAACAGAATCCATGCTTGAGCATTAGAACGGTTTCATGAATAAGGGCCCAGTCCTCCCGAACCCAAGAGTCAAAGCTTATTTTGTTGAGTCAAAACCACGCTCTCGAGAGTCTATTTAAAGCCCTGAACAAAACTTGCCTTAAAAAGTAATCGGGGAAAAAAGCCCACACTTACATTACTTATACTGAATTCAATTGTTTAGTTTCTGAAGATAAAAAAATCAGAGAAAACTGGATATTTACATGGTAATAAAGATATTATTATTCGGTATGTTATTAAAGTTCTTTTTGCAATTCAAATAAACACAATTGTTCGAAACTGGAACAATTAAATGCTTCATAGAATCTTTATTTGTAAGCGCCCAAACGATAAAGCCAGTCAACAAATTACGATAAAATTCCTACCGGTATAATAAAATCGTATATATGATGCGATCTGGCGCGCGCGATCGTCATGGTAAGATACGGGGAATGACGTGGAAAGTACAAAGACTGATTCGTTGATACCACCATACAGTTTTATTAGAAGTCTTATACCAGTATATAATTTAATTTATGTAATAGAAACGTATCATTATGTTACAACAACGTACCGCCGTAGAGACACTCTTGTCTGTGTTAATATGTTAGGCTCCATACCTATTTACGAATACCCCTTCACGTGTTTTGTTTTATAATAAATTAAATTCCCAATAGTGCTGGCCCTAAAATAAACCTGTACAGCCCTGCATGCTGGAAAGACTTAAAGGAAATTATCTCACTGTTATTACATGTTGCAACACAAATACCGAATGCTTTTCACATTATTTTTAAATATTTAACTGCCTGAAATCGAGTTACCCGGGTGATGCGCTGTTCTTCTATTGATTTTGACTGCATACACACATACAAATTGGTAGCATTCGTCTAAACCACGTAACAGATATGATTTTCTATGAAGTAATGATTATTTATATTTGTTTTATAGAAGGATAGAGCGAAAAACCGGTGTGCACACCGCGTGAAACCGGATATACAAAATAATGGTATAGTGCACATCGGGTTTTCGGCCTATCTTTATTAAATAATTGGACGCATTCCCTACAAATTAATTCAGACATACACAGCAGGTCTTACACAGAAATATTCCTATATGCACGTTTTCTTTTCAAAAGTGAACGAAGTAAAAGGTCAAGGGAAATTTGCGCCAAATTGCACGCGCTTCTCTAAACGACCAACTATGATGACGTCAGTGGGTAACCTGCAGGCTTCAGACACCGGAAATGACTATATCGAAAGTAATGCTGTTGTTTGCGCACGGTTATGTACTTTTGTTGAATTGTTTGATCAATAAAAAGGGATTAGTGGCGTAGAATATAGAAACTCATTAGTACATAAAAGGCACGTGGTACAAAGAATACCGTGAATAGTGCTAAGCATATCATTTGTGCTGTCGGTGCAGGGAAGGATTCATCACACAATTTGTTGTCCATGTATACTGCTATTATGCGTGTAGGAGTGGGTGCGATAGTGTGTGTGTGTGTGTGGTTGTGTAAGCATAGGGGTGAACATTGATGTTTCAGTAAATATTTACTTAAAATTGTTAAAAATGAGAATACTTTTTTGGCTCTCTCGCTACCTCTTTTCTATTCTATCATTCAATTATGATATTATGTATATATATGAATTGATATTTAGCCATCTTATTATGTACATATATGTTTGGTTAAATTGTAAGGAAAGGGCGAGTATAATATTCATGTAATTTGTGCCCAATACTTTTGCTGAATTTATGGCAATAAAATATGTTTGAACTAAACCGTGGAACTATTTTTCACTAGACTGGTAACAGTTCTTCTATGAGTTCATTCGTCATAACTGGTTATGTGGGTGAGAGAACTAGTCTATTTATTATACTTGGAGAATACTTTAAATGCATTGATTAAAAACATTTTAAAACGATTATAATTTCAATTGGTTTAAGATTTGGGATGAGTTTCTATAGCTGTTGCGACAAATTCTCCGGTCCCTGTGCTTTGTTATGACGGCGAGTGTGGTGTCGCCGGAAAGAGTTTGCTTAACATAGGGATTTTACCGTATCAAGCGCACCCTTATATAGTCTTCGTCATTGGTTTTTGACGCGAAACAGGGTCGAATCATCTTAAGTGCAAATTAAAATTCTATTGATTAATTGAATTGTATAATTTGATATTATATTTTTTATAGATTTTATATTATTTTACATCTAAGGGGTTCTTTTGTTACGGCGGGGATGTCACGTGTACATGTGTTGCCTATTCACGTGCATGCATGCTGTCTAGACGGTCTAAACCACACAACAGAACAGGAGCAATTCTTGAGAACCTTATGCAATTACGTCATAAAATACGAAACTAACGACGTGTCCTGCACGGATAATTTTACTGGAACAGTAAATAACTTGCAGGATTCGGCTGTAACTGATAGCTTTCTACGGATACTTCGAGACTTCGGCTGTTTTCCACCGAAGAGAATTATGTTAAGACGGCACTGAGGTCATTACTGAATAATGACAAGCTGTAAGCGTCTGATGACCCGAGGTCAACGGTGCCGCTATTATGGTCATTGCATTATCGGAGCTTTAAAAGGGGTCTGATCCATGTAAAGGAGACCCGAGCCCTTATGAATTCATAAAACCGTTCTCATGCTCAAACTCAGATTTTGTGCTCAACTCCATTTTCTTGTTACTGTCTTAAAATAACGTGACATGGCAAACAAGTCACGCTGAACACTGAACACGGAATTAAGTTTAAGTCTCTCCAAATCATTGACAAAAATTGAATCTCTATTAGTGTTTCACCGGAACAAGATACATGAATTGGGCTTGAGCACTGGATCCGAGTTTTAGTATGTGAACGATCTCATAAATACGATCCATTAACCATTGAAATAAAAACAAAAACAAAAAAGTCATGTTTTAAACAAAAACATTCTCAAATTTTATATTACTTTTGAAATAATTCTTTGGATGAAATTAAAAACAAACTGTTGGAAACACTGACATCCAAAAAGACGTATTGCTGTTGATATTTTACCATATAAAAATAATAATAATAATATGCAAATTGTTTAGTTTTACACTTACCGCGAGCATTTGATTATGAAAGATAGCACGCCGCACGTGTCGAGGGGAAGCCAAATCACGACACCTTTCTGGAAGAGACGAGCGCGGTATCCATACAGAGAAACAGCATGGCATCGCTACCAACCGATGATGTGGGAATTTGAAGCGTATCAAAAGCATTATGAAAAAACTACATATATCATGCTGTTTGTAAATTATTTAGTTATTTTAATGCCATAAAAGCATGATGCGAATAATATCATTCATAATAATTAAAAGGAAAGCATCTTTAAATATTAGAGATGTTTGCTCTAAATCACAAATGGGGGACCC